TGCTCAAGTCAGAGCCAGGATGACTTATTTTGAGTCCTTGCCCCATCTGGTGATTGGGCTGGTGCCATCTCCTGCTTGTTTGGGTTGTAAATTAGCTGCAGCCTTGAAGTAATCTGGTGGGGGAGAATTTGATAGGCACCTGGGTTATCTCAAGATTTAGTCTCTGGAACTTCTAAGCAAACATAATGAGATAAGCCAGCAATGCAAGGGAGTGCCTGGTGGAAAGAAAGCGAGTCAAGAGTATTATTTCATTACTAAAAAGTTAATACAGAGGGTGACAAGAAGAAAAAAGTTAAAATAGAGCACTCAGTTACAAAATCACACACACGTGATACATATACAGACACACAGAAACAGGTTTTATAGCTTCATAAGGCTTGCATTTGCCAGTTTTCAAATAATTTTTCCTCCAACTTTATTTTTTTTGAGACTGAGTCTCACTTTGTCACCAAGGTTGGAGTCTCAACTCACTGCAACCTCTACCCCCTGGGTTCAAGTGATACTCCTGCCTCAGCCTCCGGAGCAGCTGGGATTACAGAAGTGTGCCACTACGTTCAGCTGTTTATTGTACTTTTAGTAGAAACAGGGTTTCACCATGTTGGCCAGGCTGGTCTCCAACTCCTCATCTCAAGCAATCCCCCTGCTCAGCCTCCCAGGCTTGGGATTACAAGCCTCCAACTTTAGTCTATTGGTCTCTTGATTTCCTGTTCCATTGCCCTAAACAACAGTTAGCAAGCCAACCCTAAATTTGTACTTCTGAAAGGATGACTCTTAAAGGCACAGAACGTAGATCTAAACACCATTATTTGCTGAAAAAAAGGGCACAGTCAAGGTTTAGTCAAGTGAAGATTGCCAGGAAAGGTGTCTGAAACAAAGGTAAGGTTTGTTATGTGAACTTTGATGTCTTTCCCATCTTAAAAATTTCTGGTGGCTTGGGTGTAGGGAGAGGCCTTACAAATGGAGATTCCCTTTATAGGTGTAAATTTTTTTATGAAGAGTTTTAAAACAGGGTCTAATATTTAATATGTGAAAAGCAGACAAAACTGGAAGGTAGTGTACCTAAATCTTTCAAAATCAAGGATCTAACTTCTATATTGAATCCTGGGTCCCACCTCCCAAAGAAGGGAAACAGCATGGGAATGTGTTCCTTGCTACACACACCTTCCCCCGAGGCCGGTGGTAACCTAATGCCAGTCAAGCTACTGTGAGCAGCCCGTCCCCAACAGGAGTCTTATACCTTGATGGTGAGTGTTCCAATAACCTCCAAGTGTTCAAACCTGTCTTTTAATCTAAACCCACAAAGAAGTAAGTAGCCCCATCCAGTAACAACAATTCACTGTGTGTACCCAAAATATCTGAGACAGGTGTTAGATATAGTGAACTCCAAGTTTCCCTTCAAAGAATCAGTATGTCAGTATGTTCAGCTCTCTTATTCTTTAATTCTCCATTTTAAAGTTTAACTGCCTTACAGTTTCAGTAAACAACCTTTTCCACCAGTTCTAATCAGTAGTTCACAACTGTTTCCCTGGGCCCCTGCTCTGGTCAACTGCTTAAGTCACCTGCTCTGGTCACCTGCCCCGGTCACCTGCTTTTGACCCCTGGTTACCTGCTCTGACCTGTCCTGTAACTGTCCTTTCCACCAAACTACCCACCCTGACACTCTGGTTCATACCCGTGCTCTCTTTAAAATAGCCAGTTGGAATTAGACTTGACTATGCGGTCTAACCCTAGCTGGTAGGGAACAACACAGCAGTAGGGGCGACCTCTGTCAGGAATAAGAACCCTTCCCCTACCTTGTTCAAGTGTGTGCTCACCATTGTTCCATCTGTGAGCTGCACCCTTCTATAGAAGTAAATTGCCTTGCTGAGGAAATTTATATTTGAGTGCTACTTCTTTTGCGGCACTGAAAATGTACAGATAACAGGTCTCAATCAATTTAGAAAGTTTATTTTGCCAAGGTTACAGATGCGCCTGTGACACAGCCTCAGGAGGTCCTGCTGACATGTGCCCAAGGTGGTCAGGGTACAGTTTGCTTTTATACATTTGAGGGAGACATGAGACATCAATCACTATGTATAAATTGTACATTGGTTCAGTCCAGAAAGGAGGGACAACTTGAAGCAGGGATGGGTGGGGGGCAGGGGGACTTCCAGGTCATTGGTAATCAAGAGACAAAAGGTTGCATTTTTTTGAGTCCTTGATCATCCTTTCACTGAATACACAATTTAATCTGGCTTAGTGACGCTGCATTTTTACATAAACAATAGGGCAGAGGAAGCAATCAGATGCATTTGTGTCAGGTGAGCAGAGGGATGACTTTCTGTCCTGCACCTGTGAAAATCAGCTATCCGTTCACATTGCCAGAGTGAAGTTCAACAGAACTGTTTAGGGTAAAGATCTTGAGGCCTACAAGGAACTTCCTTGTGGGCAAATTGTGAGGGAGGTATACAGCTTTTTAATATTTGTACCTATCTTATTTAGGAATAAAATGGGAGGCAGGTTTGCCTGATGTAATTTTCAACTTGAATTTTCCCTTGCCTTAGTGATAAATCGGTCTGGAGATTTCTTTTCCGACAGCCACTTCCCAAACTACAGCTTTTATCGGTGACTTGTCAGCCATTGCACACACAAAAATCAATTTTCTCTCACAGTACAATGTAATCCCTGGTACCCCAAAGTCAAAGTGATCAAGTAACTTACTGCAAAAGACAGTAGAACTTTAGATCTGAGAGGAACCTGTCCATGACTCTCTGTACTCCACTAGGAAAACAGGACAACCTAAGGAGGGATGAGTGGCACCTTCTCTGCATTCCTCAAAGGGTCTTAGAGTCATTAGAAGTCTCCTGCAGATATTTTCACGTGTTATTGAAAATTGCAAAAGGAAGGAGGAGCAGAAGTGGAAGAAATAGAAGAACAAGTCGTAGAGGAGCCAATTTGGAAAGGCTTTTAAGATACCTAAAAGGCCAGTGAGAAGTTTTACATTTTTCTCAGCAAAAGTCATGCCAAAAAGATAGGAAGCAACTGAAAAAAAAATTTCTGGAAACAGCATCCAAAAGAAGAAAAAAAATTTGTATGGCCTAAATATTAGACTTTTAATTAACCTAACTTCTGATCATAGCGTTCTAAACAATAATGACAACAACAACAAACCAAACAAACAAAAACCACTTTCCAAATCTCTTACCAGATTTCAACCAGGACAGAAATAAAGTAGGTCTCCCTTTTAGTTTGTCTGGTTCTGAAATTAGCTTTTTTTTCTTTTACTCTCAATTGTGCACACAAAATGAATTATTTTAGACATTTGAAAGGATCTCATTTTGGCTACTGCTGCTTTTGACCATCCTGGGTTAGGTGGGCTCTGATTCCTAGATATTTATAAGAGGACACCCCATAAATGTTATACATGAGTCCAGCTGGTATTTTACTAATCAGAATTGGTCACAAATGAAAAACTAACCCATAATCTCAAACAGTAGAAAACAGTTGCAATCTTAAAAGGATACTACGTAAATAAGAGTACCAGTGCCACACTGTCAATTCCTTGATTCAAACTTTCTCTGTTGAGGCAGGAATGAAAAAACCTTGACCCCAACCTTCTGCTGGAAGAAAAAAGGCAATTTTCTGCAAAGTTCTTTACTCGAATCTCCTGTCCAAAGACAGAGACTGAAGCCCTCACTAAGAGAGAATTTGAAAATATCCCAAATAAAGTCTAGACTTACAATCAGAGTAGAAGGGCTGAATTCAGGAGAACTTACCTGAAGCACCTGATGGGACTTTTTATTTTTTATTTAAAAAAAATTTTTTGGGGCCGGGCACAGTGGCTCACACCTGTAATCCCAGCACTTTGGGAGGCTGAGATGGGTGGATCACAAGGTCAGGAATTCGAGACAAAGCCTGGCTAATATAGTGAAACGCCGTCTCTACTAAAAATACAAAAAATATGTTGGGTGTGGTGGCATGCACCTGTAGTCCCAGCTACTCAGGAGGCTGAGGCAGGAGAATCACTTGAACCTGGGAGGTGGAGGTTGCAGTGAGAGATTGTGCCACTGCACTCTGGCCTGGGCCACAGAGCAAGACTCCATCTCAAAAAAAAAAAAAAATGTATGCTGAGATAAAGTCTATAAACATTCTTATAATAATTTATATTTAGGGAATATAAATTATAAAGCGTAAGGAAACATGCCATTTCACTGGGAACATTTTTTTGTGATTGGTATATGAAATAAACGCATATCTTATCATTGTAGAATCTTAGAGTAGTTGAGGGGATGCTGCATTGCTATAAAGAAATGAAAATTGATCAGCGTGACCAACATGGTGAAACCCTGTCTTTACTAAGAATACAAAAATTAGCCAGGCGTGGTGGTGCATGCCTGTAATCCCAGCTACTCAGGAGGCTTGGGCAGGATAATCACTTGAACCTGGGAGGGGGAGGTTGCAGTGAGCTGAGATCACGCCACTGCACTCCAGCCTGGGAAACAGAGTGAGGCTCTGTCTCGAAAATAAATAAATAAATAATACATTGTGCTATATTTAGTCTAATTCTTTTCCTAAGAGAAAAAGACATTTTAAGTAACAAAAATAACTTCAAAAAAAAAAAAAAAAGAAAGATGAAGTGTGTGTGTGTGCTTTGGGTTTTCCCTGCAGGCATTCACGATGAAGCCTAACCACGGTGGGATACTCAGGGTATAGAAACAGTGGCGAATAAGAGTGGTCCAACTGTGGTTAATCTTGTTTTTACACGAAGATCTTAATTTTTCTATACAATCAAAGCATCTGTCCTAAAAGTGGAGGGGTTTTGTCTCTTCCTCTGTGATCCTTATTCCTGTCACTTTTTCTTGTCTGGTTGTGTTATCATCCCTTTCTTATTCTCTGTTTTGATGGAAATGGCTAGGGGGTTTACCATTATATTGATGTTCACCATATGATTTTTGGTATATGCCCCTCATTGGGTATATAGGCTGGGCTGCTATAATATCTTTCTCTGTCATTTCTTTAGCAATGGAAACATTAAAACAATGGCTACCTGAAGAAGATGAAGGAAAGGTAGAAATGGTGGCATTGAAGTAGATGAGGAACAGCTAGAACCAAGATCTGATGATGAGGATAATACGTAAGTAGATCATTCACCGATACTTAAGTCAAGCACTGGTACCAGGTGAAAATGCTGCTGCTGAGACATTGGAAATAGCCGCCTGAGACCTAGCTACAAAGATCAAGTTTGACAATGCACGGGTTTAGTTCTGGGCGCTCCATTCTTCTCCAATAGCATCATTTTCTACATTTGCCTCAGTGATATTCTGTCTTAATTTCCATGGCTTTATCGTACCTCCTGATATCTGGTAGGGTGAGTCCTCACACCCTGTTCTAGACTTTAAAGGTTTTTCTTCAAAATTGTCTTAACTGTGGTTTCCCATTACCCATCGTACACTGTACATCAAGCTTGTTCAAGCCACAGCCCAGGACGGCTTTGAATGCAGCCCAACGCAAGTTTAGAAACTTTCTTAAAACATTATGAGATTTTTGAATTTTTTTTTCTTTTAGCTCATCAGCTGTCATTAGTGTTAGTGTATTTTATGTGTGACCCAAGACAATTCTTGTTTTTCCAATGTGGTCCAGGGAAGCCAAAAGTATTGGACACCCTGCTGTACATCTTTGCATTCTCTACAAAGTATGAGCAACTTTGTTGGGATTTTGGTGGGAATGACATTATATTTGTTGATTAAATTATGGGAATTGGCATATTTGGGATTACAAATCTTTTTTTTTTCTTTTTTTGTGACGGAGTTTCACTCTTGTTACCCAGGCTGGAGTGCAATGGCGTGATCTCAGCTCACCACAACCTCCGCCTCCTGGGTTCAGGCAATTCTCCTGCCTCAACCTCCCGAGTAGCTGGGATTACAGGCACGTGCCACCATGCCCAGCTAATCTTTTTTATTTTTTGTAGGTAAGAGGTCTTGTTATGTTATGCAGGCTGGTCTTGAACTTCTGACTTCGAGCTGTCCTCCCATGCTGGCCACCCAAAGTGCTGGGATTACAGGTGTGAACCACTGCACTTGGCAAAAAAAAAATGTTTAATTGGCAAATAAAAATTGTATTAATAAGCTGGGCGTGGTGGCTCATGCCTGTAATCCCAGCACTTTGGGAGGCAGAGGCAGGTAGATCACGAGCTAAGGAGATCGAGACCATCCTGGCCAACATGCTGAAACCCGTCTCTACTAAAAATACAAAAAATATTAGCTGGGCCTGGTGGTATGCGCCTGTAGTCCCAGCTACTCAGGAGGCTGAGGCAGGAGAATCTCTTGAACCTGAGAGGTGGAGGTTGCAGTGAGCTGAGATCATGCCACTGCCCTCCAGCCTGGCAACAGAGTGAGACTCTGTCTCAAAAATAAATTGTATTAATATATATCAATGGTATACAATGTTTTGAAATATGTACACATTGAGGAATAGCTAAATCAAGCTAATACATATATGCATTACCTCACATGCTTATTTATTTGTGGTGAGAGCACTTAAAATCTACTGCCTTAGCAATTTTCAATTATACAATAAATTGTTATTAACTGTAGTCACCATGCTGTACCATAGATCTTCTGAAATTATTCTACCTGTCAAAGTGAAATTTTGTACCCTTTGACCATCATCTCCTGGCTTTTCCTTCCACCTTCTCCAACCCCCAGCCCCTAGAAACGAGCATTCTCCTCTCTGCTTCTATGAGTTCGATTGTTTTTGATTCCACATATTAGTGAGCTCATACGGAATTTGTCTTTCTGTGTCTGGCTTATTTCACTTGGCAGAATGCCCTCCAGGTTCATCCATGTTGTCACAAATGCTGGACTTTCCTTCTTTTTAAAGGTTGAGTAGTATTCCATTCTGTGCATATACCGTATTTTCTTTATGCATTAATGTATTGATGTGACTATAAATCTTAATATCCATAAATATAGTATAGCTCTCTATTTATGTCTCTTTGTATTTTTCAATATTTTTACAATTTTCTTTATGGCATAGTACCACTTAACTTTGTTGTTATTGCTTTTATAAATGGGATTTTTAATATTTTAATTTAATTTATTTTTTATAGAGATGGGGTCTGTGTTGCCCAAGCTGGTCTTGAACTCCTGAGCTCAAGTGATCCTCCTGTCTCAGCCTCCCAAAATGCTGGAATTATAGGAGCGAGCCACTGTGCCTGCCTAATTTTATTTTTTAATTGAAAAACGATAATTTGACATATTCATAGAGTACATAGTGATGTTTCAATACATACAATGTATAGCAGTCGGTTCAGCATAATTAGCAAATCCATCATCTTAAACATTTATTGTTTCTTTGTGTTGGGAACATTTAATATCCTCCTCCTAGCTGTTTAAAACTATATACCAGGTATTAATGTTAACTGGAGTCATCCTACAGTGGTATAGAACACTAGTGTTTATTCCTCTTATCTAGCTGTAGTTTTCTGTCCTTTAACAAATCTCTTCCTTTTTTTCCTCTTGTGTTTTCAAATTGGCAACTGCTAATGTATAGAACACTACTGATGTATCCTGTAGCTTTACTAAACTCTCTTCTTAGTTTTAAATTTTGGAGTCCTTTGAATTTTTAAAATTTTATTATAATGAACGTAAGAACATCTGTTTTGAGACACGGGCTTTCTCTGTTGCCCAGGCTGGTGTGGCAGTATGATCATATTCACTGCAGCCTTGAACTCCTGGGCGCAAGCGATCCTCTTGCCTCAGCCTCTGGAATAGCTGGGACTGCAGGTGTAGCATGCCACCATGGCCAGTTAAGTTTTTTGTTTTTTTGTAGAGACAGAGTCTTGCTATGTTGCCCAGGCTGGACTTGAACACCTGACCTCAAGTGATCCTCCCACCTGGTGCTCCAATAAAGTAAATTATGAGCCAAATGCTGGGATTACAGCAGGAGCCACTATGCTTGGCCCCTAATTTACTTTTAAAATAAGTTCCAGGGCTGGTGCAATGGCTCACTCCTGTAATCCCAGCACTTTGGGAGGCTGAGGAATGCATAATTAGCTGGGCATGGCGGTGCATACCTGTAATCCCAGCTACTCGGGAGGCTGAGGCAGGAATATCGCTTGAACTCGGGAGGCAGATGTTGCAGTGAACCAACATTGTGCCCCAGGATTCTAGCCCGGCGACAGAGCGAGACTCCCTCTCAAAAAAAAAAAAAAAAAAGTTCCAAATTTTTTAAGTATACCCTTTTCAGCCTTCCTACTACCTCTTTACCAACAACTACACAGTCCTCCTCCCTAAAGTCAACCAATCTAACCGGCTTCTGGTGTATACTTCTCCAGATGAATTCCATACACACATAAGCAAAAATATATTTCTTTGTGTAAATGTGTTTTTTATAGAAATGGTTCCATAGTGCACTGTCCTGTAATTTGCTTTTTTTTCCCATTTAACAGTATTATGTTGAATACATATTATTATTTCAAAAACTAGCAGACATATAGTTTAAATTTCCAGAACAAAAAGTATTGGGTCAAAGAGCATGTACATTTGTAAATTGGATGTCATAAAACTCCTTCACAGACGTTAGACCTGTGAACATCAGTGTATGGAAGTGCCTATTTGCACACACATTCTCTTGCTCAGTGTGTTGTCAAATTATTGCATAATTGATAGGTTAAAATAAAAGTCAGTTCATGATAGTTTTAATTAGGATTTCTTTTATGAGCGAGGCTATCTTTCCATATGCTAAAGAGCCATCTTTATTTCCTCTTTCAGGAAAGTTCATTCGTGGGATATTAATTTAAAATTTAGGTATTAACATTGTATTGATTTGGGAACTTTTCACACTTTAGGGAAATTAGTCTTTTTTGAGACCGAGTCTTGCTCTTGTCACCCAGGCTGGAGTGCAGTGGTGCGATCTCGGCTCACTGCAATCTCGCCTTCCAGGTTCAAGCAATTCTCCTGCCTCAGCCTGCCGAGTAGCTGGGACTACAGGCACGTGCCACCACGCCCACCTAATTTTGTATTTTTAGTAGAGGTGGGGTTTCACCCATATTTGCCAGGCTGATCTTGAACTCCTGACTTCGTGATCCACCCTCCTTGGCCTTCCAAAGTGCTGGGATTACAGGCGTGAGCTACCTCGCCCGGGCTAATTAGATATATTTTGTATCTTCTCAATTATCTCCAATAATACCTCATTGTACTTTCATTTTTTTATTCTTTTTGTTCCTTTCCAGGTAAATTCTTCTTCTTCTTTCTTCCACCCACCTCTTTTTTTTTTTTTTTTTTTTCCTCCCCCCTTTTTTTTTTTTTTTTTTTTTGGGGACACAGTTTCACTCTTGCCACCCAGGCTGGAGTGCAATGGTGTGATCTCAGCTTACTGCAACCTCCGCCTCCTGGGTTCAAGTGATTCTCCTGCCTCCACCTCCCAAGTAGGTGGGATTACAGGTGCCAGCCCCTACGCTCAGCTAATTTTTGTATTTTTAGCAGAGATGGGGTTTCATCATGTTGGCCAGACTGGTCTCAAACTCCTGACCTCAGGCGATCCACGCACCTCGGCCTCCCAAAGTGCTGGGATTAATTGTGGGTGAGTTTTTGAATACTGTTTTCTAATCCTATCTTCGTACCATCTATTGAGTTTTTAATTTAAGTAATTATACATTTCGTGTACAAGATAATTATTTTTTCTTGTATTTATATGGTCTTGTTTCATTAATGCATAATTATTTCTCATAAAAAATTTAAATAAATGCTTTGCTTTAATTATCTCTTTGAGAATATTTTAGGAGATTTATCAAAATCCTCCATAAAAAGAATTTCATCTGGAGTTAGTTCATGGCCCAATTTTTTCTTTTATTAATTTTATGCCATCTGTCTTACCATTAGATTTGTTTAGGTGTTAGAATTTTAGTTTGTGGGCTCATTTTGTTTTGGAGGGTATAAAATTGCTTTTTCTTCCTTTCCTTCCTCTTCCTGTATACCTCCTAAATATCTAACAGGGTCTTCTCGTCTTCCTTGGGTTCCCCTCCATTCTTGCTATTTGGGACCCTTGAAGAGCAAGTGTGGTCTAGAAGAAAATCCCAGTAATGTGGCTTGTCTGTTTAGCCCCATCTGTGGAAGATAAATTCTCCCTAAGACATTCATAACCATAGATTTGACTTCACTTGTGTTCGGAGCTTGAATTATAATACTTGTATGGGCTGGAAGCATCCATGTTGAGAAATTAACACTAAAATTAACATTAAGGGGTGGTAATACTCCTAGGATTTTTAGAAGTAAATATTAGACACTCTGGAGGGATAAATGTTGGATTTTTTCACTAAAGCACTGGTGAAGCTGAACTTATAATTGAATATTTAAAAACAGAATCCACTGTGAGAGATAGCAAATACAATAAATGCTGATTAGACCATGAAGAACTTCAATAATATAATTATCTTAGGAAGACCATAATATTGTATATTTAAAATTATATAATTCAGGAATCTAAACATAAGAAAAACATAGTCCTTCAGTAAAGAACAAGAAGATTGTCTTAGCCTGTTTGGGCTACTCTAGATGAGCTAACAAAAATATCAGAAATACACTTCTAGTTCTAGAGGCTAGGAAGTCCAAGATCAAGGTGCCAGAAGATTTGGTGTCTGGTAAGGGCTAGCTTTCGGCTCGATACACAGCACCTGCTAGCTGTGTCCTCACTTGGTGGAAGGAGCAAACAAGCTTCCTTGGGCCTCTTCTATAAGGGCACTAATCCCACTCATGGCCTGATCACCTCCTAAAGGCTTCACCCCTCAGTACTATCACATTGAGGATTAGGCTTCAACACACGAATGGGAACAGGGGAACACACATTCAGACCATAGCAAAATTTATTTTTATTTTTTTCTGTTGACACCTGGCACTTTATTAGTGGGGAAACTCAGTCTGGCAGAGAGACTGGGAAATGAAACAATTACCAAGCAGCAACAATGAAAAGAGATTTATACCTAGACACAGCATAGTTTAAATAGTAGAGGAACAAAGACAAAGGAAGGATCTGTGTAAAGCACATATCTCAGGAATGGTAACAGTGTGAGCTGCACTTACTGGTCCACCCAAATGTATGGTCTCCAGTTTTAGTGGGGTTCTCCGTGATGACTGGCAATCCTAAGCCTGGTCCACTTCCTTCCCAGTGTAATGGAATCAGTGATTCCAAACCCTCATCCCTCACCTCATTCCCATCCGCCACGCTCTCATCGTGGGACTGTGCCTCCTCCTTCACAGAGATAGTATGCGGCCTGCAGAAGGAATCGTCTCAGTTTTCTGGCTCCATAACTTCTCTATATCTATGAGTCCTTCTCTCCTTTTCTTTCCCTGGCTTCCTTTTCCTAGGAAAAACTGTCCCTCTTCCTGCTGAAAGCCGGTGCTTCACATTTGCTCTAAAACTCAGACTCTTTTCAGTGACCTGGCTCCTATTGGTTATTCCACCTGTGTCCTGTTTTCCATATCTACTACCTCCTTTCCCTCAGCATACAAGCATGCCCAAATCTCTCCCATTAAAAACAACCACCACCAAAAACCATTGCCCCATGTTCTCTAAATAACAACATTCCTTTCCGAGCCAAGCTCCCTGAAAGAGGAGTTTAAACTCATTGTCACTGCCTTTTTGTTTTTGAGATGAGGGTCTTGCTCTGTTGCCCCGGCTAGAGTGCATGGCATGATCCTAGCTCACTACAACTGCAAACTGAGCTCAAGCAATCCTCCCACATCAGCCTCCTGAGTAGCTCTCCCAGAACTTTGGGAGGCTGAAGTGGGAGGATTGTTTGTACCCAGGAGTTTTTGACTAGCCTGGGCAACATAGTGAGACCTCCTATCTGCTAAAAATCAAAAAGCCAGGCATGGTGGCACTTGCCTGTAGTTTCCTGCTGTCACCACTTTCTTAACCTCCTATTGCTTTCTTGACCCACTGTACATTGGCTCCTGCTGTGTGGCACTTCTCTGGAATATTCTCTCAAAAGTCATCTATTACCTTGAAATTGCCAAGTCAGATAATCATTTCTCAGTCCTTATTTGGCTACTCCTTTGGCTTCCATGATACACACCTGCTTGGCTCTTAACAGCTCTTTCTCAATCTCCTCCACTTGCCACTTTAAGAGTCTCGCCGTCTCCCAGGCTGGAGTGCCGTGGTGAAATCTTGGCTCACTGCAACCTCTGCCTCCTGGGTTCAAGTGATTCTACTGCTTCAGGCTCCCGAGTAGTTGGGACTACAGGTGTGCGCCACCATGCCTGGCTAATTTTTTCTATTTTTAGTAGAGACGGGGTTTGGCCATGTTGGCCAGGCTGGTCTTGAACTCCTGACCTCACACTTGCTACTTAAATATTAGGTTGGTGCAGTTACTTTTAGGTTTTATTTAGGTTGATGCAGAATCTTTTCTTGATCTCCTATTCCCTTTCCTTTCTAAAAATACCAATGTTGCAGTCTTAGACATAATTTTAATTCCTGGTTCTATGAATTAGCAGCCATGAGATCTTCAACACATTTTTTAACCTCTTTGAGCCTCAGCTTCTTTATTTACAATTTGATGATGATAATGTCTACCTCGAAATGTTGTTAGTATTACATGAAATACAGTATAAGTACCCTAGGACAGTGACAGACATATAGTAAGAGCTCGATGCATGGCAATTGTTTTTTTTCTTTTTTTTTTTTTTAAATACTCTCTCCCTCTCCTCTTAAACATTAGATGATGGATGTTAATAAGTATAATAAAGGGTGTTTAACACAAGTGCAACTAAACAGAAGACTAATTCTCTCAACATTAGTTGTTTATCACGCTTAGAAAAACCTGGCTGAAAATGCAACTTTTATGTTGCTCAATTGGGGATGGAGTGAAAAGAAAAACAAGTTTTACATGTATTCTTCAGTGTTTTCATATCATGACGCTGATTTTACTGCTTATTATTTCAGAAATTTTGAAGAATCTGAAGATGAACTGAGAGATGAAGTAGTAGAATCCTTAGGAAAACTCGCTACTTTCAAAGGGGAAGAAAAAACAGACGAGGCCTCCACTGCCTCTCAGGATTCTGGAAAGTCAAGAGAAAAAGACGCGATAAGTGTGCAGAAACCTGAAGAATTAAGTGAAGGTTTGGAGAATATTTCTACTCCATCTAATGACCACATTTGTATTACTGATGAAGACCAAGGAACATCAACGACCAGTCAGAATGTACAAGTGTGATTATTGTACTTTTTCTTAATAAGTTAGTATCTGTTACCTATAGTATTTGGGTACAAGTCACAAATGCTCATTTACTGTAAGGGTTTTCTAGTCATCGCAAGGATGTATTAATTTTTCTTTCAATTTAGAAAGTACAACTAACTTTTGAGTGTAGACATTAATATTTTTAAAGTTTCGATTAAGAAATCTTTCAGCTAACACGTGGTAGGCAGAGTAATGTGGCTCAACACCTCCCTCCAAAACGTGTTCCGTCCTAATCCCCACAGTTTGTGAATAAGGCACAGGAGAATTAAAGTTGCAGGTGAAATTGTTTGCTCATCAGCTGACCTTAAAATAGGGAGGTTATCTTGGTTTATCCACGTGAGTGCAGTGTAATCACAAGAGTCCTTACGAGTGGAAGAGGAAGGCAAAAGAGAAAAGCAGAGAGATGGCAGCATGAAAAGGACTCAGCCTGATGTTGCTGGCCTTGAAGGTGGAGGACAAGGCCACAAACTAAGAATTCAGACAGCCTCTGGAATCTGGGAAAGGCAAAGAAATGGATTCTTCCCTAGAGCCTCCAGAAGGAACACAGCCCAGCCAACACCTTGATTTTATACTGGTGAGATCCACTTCAGATTTCTGACCTGCAGAACTGTAAGATAATAAATTTATGTTAACTAAGTTTGTGATAATTTGTTAGGACAGCAGTATAAAACAAATACAATATACAGATTCATTCATTTAACGTAATGAATCTGCTGTTTTATAAAACTGATTTTGAAATTTCTTGTTACATTGAATATACTTTTTTGAAGCTGACGCTGACACAGGAATAAGGCAATTGAGCAAGAACAAGGCAGGGTGTGTTAATTATGCACTAAATGACCATTAGTTTTATTGGATTAGTTTCCAGTAGTTTCAGGTGTATAGGTTGAGGGCAGGGACTGTATCTGGTCTTTATATCTTATAATGATCTCTTTATATACAGTTATTAGTACAGTCAGAAATGTTTCTTGAATTAGTATATAGCAAAACATTTCTTTATTAAGACTATAAGCTGTTTGGTGTAGGAAGCTAGACTTAAACTTTTTTTAATTGATCATAACAATTCCAGTGTTGAACATGTGCCTGGAGCTTACCAGATGTTTATTTAAACACTAATGAGTGTTTAAATAAAGTCTGGGCTTAGGAAGGAGAAAGTGGTTGTATTTCAACGTGGTAGAATTCTGCCTGAAATATCTGCTCTATAATAAAAGTCAAATGTCTCAATGATGCATTGTTAAGCTGAGAAAATAAAAATGAGGTGAGGTTGATCAGATAATTTTTTTTTTTTTTTTTTTTTTTTTTTAGGCGGTTTTTTTTTTTTTTTTTTTTTTTTTTTTGAGACGGAGTTTTGCTCTTGTTACCCAGGCTGGAGTGCAATGGCGCGATCTCAGCTCACCGCAACCTCCGCCTCCTGGGTTCAGGCAATTCTCCTGCCTCAGCCTCCTGAGTAGCTGGGATTACAGGCATGCACCACCACGCCCAGCTAATTTTTTGTATTTTTAGTAGAGATGGGGTTTCACCATGTTGACCAGGATGGTCTCGATCTCTTGACCTCGTGATCCACCCGCCTCGGCCTCCCAAAGTGCTGGGATTACAGGCTTGAGCCACCGCGCCCGGCCTGATCAGATAATTTCTAAGTTCTGTTTACTATTTACATTTCATATAATTTTCATTAAATGTGGAGAATGCAAGTCATTTGAGTCACCTGAGATATGTCCAGTTTGGAGTATCGTTAATGGAGTATCTGCAGCTCTTTCAGTGCTCAGTGTGTATACGTGTTTATTTACTTTCAGGACTAGTTCATAGGAAAACTGTTAGTGACTTCATTTAATCCTTATTCTGAACAGTATTTGAAAGCAATGGAAATGAAACATGATTCCTAAAAACCCCAAACATCCAAAGGTCAAGTCAACTAAATGAAAAAATAAAGGAAGAAAAAAAAAAGAATGTTTAAGGATGATAAATGAAGAGGCCAGGTGCAGTGGCTCAAAGTGGTAATCCCAACACTTTGAGAGGCTGAGGCAGGAGGACTGCTTGAGACCGAATTCAAGACCAGCTTAGGCAACATTGGGAAACACCCATCTCTACCCCCCACCCCCAAAAAAGAAAAAATTAGCTGGTGTGATGGTGTGCACCTGTGGTCCCAGCTATTCAGGAGGCTGAGGTGGGAGAACCACTTCAGCTTCAGCCTGGGAGGTTGAGGCTACAGTGAGCCATAATCCTTGATCACATCACTGCACTCCAGCTTGAGTGACAGTAAGACCCTGTTTCAAGAAGAAAAAAAAAAAAAAAAAAAGCTTATCAAGTTATTGGTTTGTTCCCATGACAAGATGCTTGGCTAAAGTATTTTAGATAACAGTCACCAAGCTTTACTCAACAATTCTGAAATCTTTGCTGTAAACTGGAAGTATTCACTGTGATAAGTATACATAACATTTACAACTGGTTTTGGTCCCTAATTCTAGACCTTACCCATTCTACACACACTATGAGCTAAATTACGTTCCTGAGGCATGGCTCTGATTACTTTGCTCAGGCTTTAGCCTTGGCCTCATGTGTTAAATTGAAACTGTTCATCAGAGCTGTATGCATTATAAAATTTTTTATTAGAAAAATCAGCCTCTTGCTATTGATGTATGATAGTATCAAAGTGATCTTTCTGTAAATGGTAGCAATAAGTGTAACAATACTTCAACCTCCTCTGTATCTAGTAACATTTGCATATAGTCCAAGTGAGCACAGAGCAAGAATATTGAAACACATGCTTCTCCAAAGCCAAGGGTGGCCTTACATTTAGGGTGGGAAAAGAGGCAAATGAGTTAGCAGAGGAGCAGCGGGAGATGGGGGGTAAATTGCAGGACATAATTTGCTTCTAAAAATTTGTGTAACATCTTGTAGTTATAAACTAAACTTTTCTATTGTACTGATTGACAGATTTGGCACAGACATAGTCTCATTTATTGTGAATATATATGAATATATCAGCGTTCTGGAGTCTGGGGTATATTTATATAAACACATATATTCTGAAAACATTGATAATCATACTGATCTCTATCTCATAATTTTGCCTATAACTTTATAAAATTCCTCAAAAATGATTTAAATCAAGTATACGAAGCTCTGTAGTTTTTTGTATGTCTGAAATATTCATTAAAAGTTTATTAAGCCTGACAACCTATTCTTAATGTTCCATAAGCAAGACAAACTTTTATTTTTCTTTCTTCTTTTATTGGCATATGGAGCTTGGGAATATTAGTGGGAGAACAAGATGACCATGTGAGGCATACAAAAGGCACCATGCTGGAAAGAATCCAAGGGAATGAAAAATCACTTATTTAAATCAAATTTAGACACAAACTTTGTATCTCTTAGATGTAAATCATGTCTAAATACAAATCTAAATCATATTTACAAATAATTATTACACAAAGCCTATGTAACACATCCTTTATAGTACACAACTGTAAATAAGAATACAAATCTCCACTGCTGTGGGTTCAAAACACAGCAGGCTTGGACCACTCAAAAATGACATTTGAGAGAAATTAAGTCATCCTGAAGTTCTGCAGGCAGATACTAGCAGACATACCACTTTGACACTTTTCATGCTGTCATTCAGAAAAAACAGAATACATGTTATACATTAGGAACATTGATAAAGAACATATATGCAAATTATATCTTCCAACGATTTATCTGTGATATATGAAAATCATTTAGAAGATGTAAGCTTAAAATATATCTTATGGAATTCCGGAAAACTTTTTCTTTACTACATCCTCTCCTTTTGCTCTGGGCATTTCAATTTATTTATCTATGGTCCCATATTTTCTCTGTGTAGATAAGTAGGCTGAGTATGAATCCTACTTCAAAATGTGGCTACAAAGTCAGAAAAAGCACTGGGCCAGGAGTCAGAATATCCAGGTTATACTTTTGATTCTTTCATTAAATAGCTTTGTGACACTGAAGGAGTCTGCCAAATTATTTAGATCTAAATTATTCTTGTCTGTAAAGCTGAAAATAAGAGAGAACTGGGCTAGAAAATCTATAGGGTTCCTTTCACTCCAATTTCTACCAGTCTTTTTCTAAATGGGATCATCTCTAACACAAAGTTACAATGGTGTGTCAGAACATCCTGTGACTGACCCTCTGTTTTGCTACTTTTTGATCTGATGACAGATGGCCTGCAGATAGATCAACAACCTAATTGGGAGTAGGTAAGCTGGCCAGATTGGTGAATGACTGAGAAGAGACTGCAAAGGAATAATATACCCTTTCATTTGCCCCTTAGCGCAAAGATGAATCAGGCTATGGAGGGGGTCAATTCGCTGTACTAGAAAGGATTGATTATATAGGCAGAAAATGCAAAAGTTTTAGGTCTTTATAGCCATGTCTGCCCACATATGTATTCACTTTTCCATGCTAGTTTTTCAGGATAGAAGTTGTATTAAATTTATACCAATTCCTAGCTACTGGCCTAGTAACTAAGAATCTACATTCAGTTGTAATGCATTAATAAACATAGGATTATAGAAGACATTTACTATGTAATGCTACCTTTAATTAAAGTAACTCAATTTTCAAAGTAGTTTCACCAACTTTCCATCTGATTCCAACTCTAAAAGGTAGTAGGGACTGGAATTAACAACTCCAGATTACAGATGAAACATCAGACTCAGAAAGGTAAAGGAGCCGCTTCAGTATCAAAAGGTCAGAAGTGCCGGGCGCGGTGGCTCAAGCCTGTAATCCCAGCACTTGGGAGGCCGAGGCGGGTGGATCACGAGGTCAAGAGATCGAGACCATCCTGGTCAACATGGTGAAACCCCGTCTCTACTAAAAATACAAAAAAT